GTCACTTGGCATCAGCAGAGTAGGTCCAACGTGGCAGGCTCTGTTTGCCAGCAATGCAAAGTATCTGCCTGTCAGCACAGGGCACAGGGCTAGCCCTATAGCCTGAAGGGAAAGACAGAAGCAGTCACACACTAAGACAGTTGTAGGTGTGTGACTTTGAAATCAACTCTATCATTCCTGCATCTTGCACCGAAGCTTCATCTCCACCCTCAGACTTAGTTCCACAAGGTGGACACACTCTGTGCATGGCCCAGTGCTATAGTGTTAGCCTAACAGAACACATAGCATACTTACTCTGCCCATATCAGATTTGTTAAGGAGCCTTCAACAGGGCCAGATAAATGATAGTGACTTTCAGGAAGGCACTGAGAAATCAGTTTGGGGGGAAGAGGGACTGGCAATATAGCTCAGTTGATACAGCGCTTGCTTAGCATGCACAAAGTCCTGGGTTCAATCCCCAGCACTGCATATAACAGGCATGGTGGCACGTGCCTGTAATCCAAGCACTTGGGAGGTAGAGGCAGGAAGATCTAAAGTTGAAGGTTATCTTTGGCTCCTAGAGATAGTTTAAGGCAGGTCTGGGATATATGAAACTGTCTCAAAAGAATAAAAAGAATCTTTTTTTAAATACCTGGAAAAATCCTTTCTGCTAACAAACATTAAGAGACTAATTTCCACCATCAAGAATCTGAAATGCGCCCTTCCCTGCTCTCTGCCTCCGGTCCACCATGAGGTGAACAATGCTGCCACAGTGCTCCTGCTGCCAGGATGCCCCACCTCACCACAGGTCAAGTGACAGACTTTGAGCCCAATGAAATTGTGAGCTGAATAAATCTTTTTTCCTTAAAAGAAAAAGAAAAAATGCAAGGATGGAAGATCAGTGAAAGAAAGAGGGCAACAGGAAACTGTGAAGCAGAAATTTCTGTAGAAGCATGGTCTGCTGCCAGCCAAATTAGTTCCATCTATCAACATCCTGTGTGGCGTGCTCATCTATTGGACATGCTAATTAAGTAGCAGTGCTAATTGATTTCATTATTGTATCACACAGGGCAAGGCTTTCCCATGAGTCTGTATCTATTTTGGTATTTAATGGTATTAACTACCCCATGACAACTTCCTACACTGGCCAGACATTTTCCAGTACTTTGAGTTCATACTGGAAACTCAAGTTAGTCAGGATCCTATAGCCTGAGAGAGTAAGAGGCAGGCCCATTATCCCAGGAACACAGGCATTTTCTAAACATGATTCTGTACCAACCTGGCCTCTCAGCTCCACACCCACCCATCTTATCACTCCCTGGGGATAGATACCTGGGGCTAGGTCTCTAAAAGCATGTTTCTTCTGCCACCTGGCTCCCAGAAGGGGCTGGTAGAGAACCACAAGACTTCTATTCCTGTCCACCACAACCGGGAAGTTGTAGCAGTTGCTCCAGCCCCAACTCCAGCCCCATCACACCTCCCGAGAGCACAGTGCTCTCTCCTCAGGGGTTGAGTTCCAGATTCTCTGAGTCTTCCTTGAGCTTCTAAGTTGGGATAAGCCCATTTGTGCCCTTTCAACCCAAAGACATGGCTGTCTCTTTTACCACCATGGTCAATGAATCTATGTCCTCCAACTGCTGTTATATTGATTTCTTACATTAAATTAGCTGTTAAAATAGCTTACATAGTTTCTACTTTGCTTATACTGCTTTGTTTTTTTTTTTTAACTTTTAAAAAAAAAGGTTTTAAATTAAAAAAAAATTATGTGTATATGTGACTGTCTGTATGTGGGTATGTACATGTGAGTGCAGTGCCCATAGAGATCAGAAGAGGGTGTCAGATCCCCTGGAGCTAGATTTGCAGGCCATAGTGAGACAACAGACATAGGTGCTGGGAACAAACTTGGACCCTCTGCAAGAACTGTGCACACTCTTAACCACTAAGCCATCTCTCCAGCCCCGGCTTTGTTTTGTTTTCAGACAGTGACTGGCTTTGTAACCTAAAACGTATAATCCTCCCACCTCTGTCTCCTGAGTGCTGGGGTTATAAACAGGCACCACCATGCACTCTACTTTGCTGTAGTGGTTAACAGAGCGGATCCTGAAATTAGTTGTACTGGAGTTGGAATCCCAGCCCATTTATGCAGTCATACCTGGTAACTTTGGAAATTGTAATCCATCCCTTTAGGTCCATTTTTCTCAGAAATTTTCCTTGATATAATTAATGTATATTGCACACATAAGTGACAGGCACTGGGCTAGACAGAGAGATACAATGGCATGCAAAACAAATTCCCTGACCTTCTAGATCTCCTTATGAGTTAAAGGAGAGAACACAGTTAAGGAGTTAGCATGCTAGATAAGATACATGTCGTCAGCTTCCTTTCCATCCTGTGACGGCAGCACAAAAACACATGAGTCTTCCTGAAAGAAGCATTCTGATATGTCTTTGAAGAATGAGGCAGGTGTCTTTCCCCAATAAGCTGAAGGCCTCAGTTAATAAACCCCGGGAAATCACTGTGTGCCATGTTCACGCCTCCTCCTCAGAGGATAGAAGCAATGGCCTTGCAGCAGCATTCGTTCAGAGAAAAATGGGATGAAAAGTTCAGAGAGGGAATACCACAAGATGAACGTCCAAGGAGACGATGAAAGGACAAGCAAAGCTGTAACACAAGCTGGACCTGGGCTCCAGAGTGGTCGTAGTGGGGAGTGTAGGGAGATTCCCTAAAGCTGTGATTCCAACATCAGTCACAAGTCTTTTTACCCAAAGAAGGAGAGCTGGGCATAAATCTTGGTGGTGCTTGCCCAGTGCTGTGGTTTGAATATGAAATGTCCTCCACAAGTTAGGGTGTTTGAAACTTGATCCCCAGATAGTGGTGCTATTGGGGAGGTTGTGGAATCTTTAGCACATGGAGCTCTCTGGAGGAAATGGGTCACTGGGGGGAGGCCTTGAGATTTTATAGCCTGGACCCAGTTTCTGTTCACTCTTTGTTTCCTCTTGATGCAAAATGACCAGTGGTCACCCACTCCTGCCACCATGCTTTCCCTGCCCAGAACTACAGCCCTTCAAACTATGGAACAAAAGAATTTTGTGTGTAGGTGTGTATGGGTGGATATGGTATATATATATGTTTGTTTGGGTATGTGCAAATGTCCACGCAGGTGTGTGTGGAGGCTGGAAGTTGACATTGGATTTTTCCTATCACTTTCCACCTAATTTTTTTTTTTTTGAGACAGGGTCTCTCATTGAACCTGGAGCTCTTTGATTCAGCAAGACTGATTAGTCAATGAGCTTCAGGAATCTGCTTGTCTCCACAACCCCAACTATCACCCCCAGGCTAGGATTATAGGCACAAGACACAATACCTGGCCTTTAGGTGGGTGCTAGGATCCAAACTCAGGTTCTCATACTTGTGTGGAAGGTACTTAAGTTGTTTCTTGTTAGATATTTTATTACAACAATGAGAAAAGTAACTAACATGCCTAGCAAACATGGAGCCCTGGGTTCCATCCCCAGCAATGCATAAAATTGGGCATGGTGGTGCATCTTCAACTTACATAGCGAGTTTGAGACCAGCCTGGGCTACATGAGATCAAAAAAAAAAAAAAAAAGGAAGAAAAAATAAAGCACAACCTACTTTATCCTTTTTGTAGCAGGACTGTGCTGTGTACCAAGATAAGCAAAGAAGTGGTAAGATGGGAAAGAAGAGTCGAGATTCGATTAAGTCTAAACCCAAAGGCTCTCAGCTGTGGACAAGAAAAAACTAGAAAGAACTGCAGTTTCCACATTTTGACACACTCTTTCCTTGGTCTTCTATTGTCTAGATATCAGACATATGGAGGATGGGGCGGCCATTATTCTCACCTACTATGACAGTGTTTGTGTAAAACTGCTATGTGGTCAAATCCTTGAAAGCCACATTTAAAACACACTGAGACCTTCTAAATGCAAACTAAACTCTTCACCCTCAGTATTTTACTCATTTTGACATGATTATGGCCATCAAAAGTCACACTGAAGGAAGACAGCCATGGGAAATGATTGTTAGAAGGCCTCTTCCATACCCTTGCTCTAGGGCCTTGTTATAAGTAATTTACTGTCACTGAAGAATGCAAAGTTCATAAGGCATGAAAAGCCTGGAGAGAGCTTTATTCATAAATAAGTGCCAACTCTTAAACAATAATGACAGCTTCAAATTCCAGAACAATTGAAATGAACAATATACACTGCCTGGGTGATTTATTACAGCGGTGTTTAGAATCCAAATGATGAGATAATTCAATTCCACCTGAAGAGTCATTACATGGCCAAGCCTAAGAGAAGCCCTTTGGGTAAGAGGCAGTATTTCTCAGGTCGTCCATTTCAAAGAAATTCTTTCTGTATTTAGGATATCACCCGGGCGATTCCTTTCATGATTTGTAGCACTCTCAGGCAATTAAAAAATTTGATAAGGTGAAAGAAGTCGGGGACAAACGCCAAATTCAAAATGATTCATAGATTACCAAAGCCCCAGAGAGCATAATGTCTCAGACATACAGCAAAACAATCCCTTCTGCTCAGGAAAATTTAAAATGAGCAGCTAGCAGGCATCATAGCAAGAAGACTACTCCCCAGCTGATGCAATGGCTAAACACAGGTATTCTCTCCAAAGGAGGCTCCTAACAGATGTGCACAAAAGCTATCTCCTGAGGAAATGGAGCAATCACCCTTGGCATAGTGTCACTGGCCTGTGGCAGTCTTCTCCCTTAATCACCTTACTAGCTCTCACATTCACATCAATCATGGCGTAGAATCTGTTTTGAATTTTTTGGGAACAGGGTCTCATGTATCCCAGGCTGAAACTGGTCTTTAACTCTTGGTCCTCCTGCCTCTACCTCTGGAGGGCTGGAGTTACAGACATGAGACACCATGACAAGCTTTGGTCCAGATTCTTGAGCCTGGCTGAGGACACATTCAGGCAGGTAAGGGCAGAGGGGGTGGAGCCAGTCAGAGCAGTCTCCAGGATTTCTGGGCTTACATACCATCCAGGCCATTGTGATGACTGTAATTTCTTTTCCCCAGGATGCTCAGAGATGTGTGATTCGGAGTGGTTAGCATCCTCTTGGTAGCTGGAGTTTGCAGACTTGGTGTAGATCGAAGTACATTAGGTTTCTTTGCAGGATGGATCTCTGACAGGAGGAAAAAAAGGTTTATCAGCTCAGAACATAAGTATTGGAAATCTGTGGGAACTCTTACACTAGCTAATAGGCACACATCTTCTTTCTTAATGAGCTGAGAGTTCAGTTCCGTACAAGCCAGTCATCAGCTTGCATAATGAAGCAGCTTCAAGTGTTGTTGCCATGGCTCTGCTTATCAAGGAAGATGGGGCTCTTCCCCTGCTGGCTGGGGCTCTGAGCCTCAGGTTGTGAATATAAACATGTGGAAAAGCCACTTCAGAAGGTCACTTACAGCATGAGATTTCCTAAGGGAATAAAGCATCTGACTCTTCAGCATATTAGAAATCTGAAGATTATCTGCAGAGGCAGCCTCAGGATAAAACTGCCCCTGGGCTCAGGCAACTGGGAGTACGCAGCATGTCTAGGGGGCTCGCTTTCAGAAAAACCAGATTCCTCCTCTGGCTGTACAATCAGTGTATGCAACCAGGGTCAAATACTCCCAGCCCAGAACATTTTGATAATGGATGAAACATGAAACCAAAGTTCAAATATGAAAGTCAAAATATGGATGTCACACTTTGACCAAGGACATACCACTAAACTGTAATGTGTACATGGTGCATGGTTAAGGGGAGCATATTATTGTGTGCCACATAACCCAGAACCTCTTTTAAGTTTTATAGATAGGCAGAAATGGCAATACTGTAAGAACTGGATTTAGGGACCTCAGTCCATGGTTGACACCAACACCTTTGCTCCAAAGCTTCAGCAGTTCACTGAGCCTCAGGGCTGTCAACCGCATCAGGTCAACTACATTCAAACCATCCTACCTTCTCACCTGTCACCCGAGAGGTGACACGAGAGGGCCCAAATCACCTAATTTCCTGAAAGTTAGGAAGAGTCACTTGTCACTTAGACTGTTAAAATTATTACACATCTTTGTCTGACCAAAGTCTTAACACTTGTTAAAATTTAGACATGGCTTAGCAGTATTATCCAAAAAATGTTTTTTTTTTTTTTTTAATTCAGTATGGCATTAAAATTTGCCATCCTCAATGTCATTATAACCATCATACCCTATGCTCCACCCAAATGAGACAATCTGCTTCCCTTAACCTTTCAGGTCCTTGCATTCACTGAAGCCTTTGCCCATCTGGGTCTCTCGGCCTCAGAGGAGCAAGAATATTCTTTTCCCATTTTCCCATCAATTCAAAACCTGCATAACTTTCAAGGCTGAGACAAAGTACTACTATTGTGAAGTAGGCTGCCTTAACACTCACCAGAAATAACTACTCCCACGGCTGGGACACACAGCAGTGGCACAGCACTTGCCTGGCATGCATGAGGCCCTGGGCTCAACCCCCAATACCCCTTACCACACACACAAAACTCCTTCCAGGTGCCCAATGCATGTTAAAGCCTGTCATTTATCACATCTAATACTTTTATTGCTTTTACTGTGTGATTTCCCCACTAGACTAAGAGTTTTGAAAGCAAGGCTTTTATTGACTTGGGGTCTTCCAAATCATGTTCTACAGTGCCTTGAACACAGTACACACTCAGAAATATGTAGGCATGAGGCTCAGCTAGCAAAGTTGGGGCTTCTCTGGTAAAGACAGAGGTTAATTTGCCCACAGGAGAACACACAATTAACACTGATTGGGAAGGTGGCCTCCTACGCAATGCTTGTACTCTACCTTCTTGTGGGCTGGAAGGGGCTTGTAAGTTGGTGCTGGAATAGAATCCAGACAGCAGTCTCTGAGGCATTATCATCAATACCCAGGGCATACTGATAATACTTGTGCAATATTTTGGGGAATATCAAAGTAACCCTTGCTTTCCTGTTTTGTTTCTGCTTTCATTTTAATTTTTGAAACACAATCTCATGTAGGGCAGGCTGGTCTTCCTGCCTGTACCTCCCTACTGCTGGGATTAGAGGTCTGTGCCGTGAATTTTTGTTTTGATTTTTTTTTTTTTTTGAGGTCAGGTCTTGTGTAGTTCACTCATGTAGCTGAGGCTTCAAAGTAACTCTTTAGCCTTTGAGAAATAAAACAAGAACTAAAGTATCAGACTAACATCAAGATAGAGGGATGGAGAGATGGCTCAGCGGTGAAGAGCACAGGCTGTTCTTGCAGAAGACCTGAGTTCGAATCCCAGTACCCACAAGGCGGCTAACAACCATCCGTCACTCCAGTTCCAGGGGATCTGACACCCTCTCCTGACCTCCATGGGCAATGCATGACACAGGTGTACTTACACACATGCAAGCATAACACTTATACACAAAATAAAAATAAAGTTTTTTTGTTTAAAGATAGAGCTATGAGCTTTGAGTCCAGGAAGTCTGACAAAACCTGTAACATATCAAGTTCAAGGCTACACTTCCATTTTTAAAAGATTAGATGTCCAAAGTCTGAATACTTTCATAACTGTAAGTCTTCCTGACAGAGCAATAAGATTCAATGCAACTCAGAGTTTGTTTCATTTTTACTGAGAAAATGAAAAATAAATGTTAGAAGCACAAAACACATGCTGCTTTGCTTCTAGGTATCCAACTCATTTTCTAAATTACCCATCTTAAAACTTTGCAAAACAGTTATTGTCTAGTAATTTTTAATACTGTTCTTAGTTATTACATTTCAACACGTAGATGGAACCATCATCTTTGGAGATTTCTGAGTTACACAGCATATTAGAAATCAGAAACTAGTACAAATGTTTTCCTTTCAAAGTAATCATAATGGTACATCGAAACTACACCTTTGACTTTTTGTGGTGCTGGGGCTGAAACCCAGCACCTCACACATGCTGGGCAAGTGTTTAATCACTGACTGTGCACCAGCCTTTAAGGGGGTTTTGTTGTTGCTCCCTTGATTGCTTGCTTTGGGGAGGGCATTTTGCTTTTGGGTTTTGCTTTGCTTTGCTTGAGCCAGGATCTCAGAACAGCCCAGACCCCTGAGCTCATTATGTAGCCAAAGCTGACCTTGAACTCCTGTCCTCCTGCCTCCATTTCTGGAGTGCTGATAGAGGCATGCCTCCTCTCTTGGCTACTTTTGGGTTTTGAACAAAGTCTTGCCAGGGAGGCACCCTAACTCTGAACCTGTGGGTCTTCCTACTTCTGCTGAGTATGGGATTACAGGCATGCGTCACTATAACCAGCTATTTTTTTTTAATGTAGGCTGAAAATAATTTGATTTCATTTTTTAAAATACAGTAAATAAATGGGCATGATGCCACACACCTTTAATCCCAGCACTTGGATCTCTGTGAGAGAGCCTGATCTACACAGAGCATTCCAGGCCAGCCAGGGCTACATAGTGATGCTGTCTAAAACAAAGCAAAACAAAACAAAAAAGAGAGAAAGAGACAGTAAATAAAACCAATTTTCTATTAAAAGGGAAGAGTAAATAAAAATAAAAATCTTAAGAATATTCATCCTTGGGGCTGGAGAGATGGTTCCACAGTTAAGAGCACTGGCTGCTGTTGCAGAGAACCCACATGGCAGCTAACAACCTCCCCCAACTCCAGTTCTAAGCCCTCTTCTGGCCTCCATACATGGGTACAGTTAAATACATGTAGGCTTTTAAAACACAAACATAAAATAAAAATAATAACATTTAAAAGGAATATTCGTCCTGTATTATTGGGTAATTTTTAATTTTTTTCTTTGTTGTTGTTGGTGGTTTGATTTGGTTTTGAGACAGGGTCTTGCTTGATAGCCCACGCTAACTTTGAATTTACAGTGATCCTCCTGCCTCAGCCTCCCAAGTGCTGAGTTTATAGGCAGGAGCCACCATACTTGGCTTTTATTATTTGCTTAATTTGTGTCTATTGAAATGAATATTCACTTTTATGCAACAATACTTTTGGAAGAAGTAAACATATATACTTAATGGTGATAATATTGTCTCTAATCTAAAATAAAACTATACATATAAAGTATCCGGTTTCACCTATCTGAAAGGCTTGAGTTTAGTTCAGGTATGCATCTAGAAAGGCCAGATATCTATAACATAGAAATCATTTGAATTCTTCCTGCTTTAGAAAATACCCACCTAAATACCCAATGATACATGCCAAAGGCTTCCTAGTGCTTTTGCTTTTCAGTGGGCTTCCAGATAGTTCGGCATGTCTGTCTGCATCTGAGGAGAGAGAGAAACATGGAGACAACCAATGAGGTGGTTTCTTCTACCTTTACCACACACAGCATAGGTGGAAAACAGTGCAGACCATCCACCACCTTCCTGCAACTTCATTGGTTTAAGAAAACTGCTTCTAGTTCCAGAACGATACACTGACTGAGGGACTTATATGAAAGCCCCATGAGTGTGGCTACTACACTCTCACACACACCACGCATGCCCACCTGAAACGTGATGGAAATATGCTTCCTTCCTAGCCTCAGCATTGCTACCGTATAACAGAAAAACACTGATGGTACACTCAAGGTGGAACCAATCCTCGTGTAAGATTAATCTGGTTTGAAAAAATGTCAGTTGACAAAGGCAACACATTTAGCCATCCCCGACTTAGAGAAGTCTTGACCTATCCTGACAAACCTCAATTCCACTGGATGACAGCCTGGAAAAGTCAGTAACAAGGTATTTGGTTTTATCACTATTGTTTCTTCATCCTGCTATATGTTAGCTGAAGAGTCGAAGGTCACCTCTATGTAGATGGTATTTCATCCAACAGTCACACTGTGAAGATGGACACTAGCTCCTAAGTTTTCATCATACCATATAACCTATCATCAAACATCTCAAAAAGGAAAATAAAGCATACAACACGAGCACCATACGTTCAATGAGCTGCCTTAGGATGGAGTAGATGCAGCATTACTGAAGCAAAGAGCTGATGTAGAAACAGTTTAAAGGGACAAAAGGAAACGGGTTGTGGAATCTTTTAAAAATTCAGACATCATAAAGCTTAATACAGTTGCTTTAGTCAGTATAGATCTGCTATGTTTAGGCTTTGCCCACCTCCAAATATTTGACAAAAATGACTGCCAAGTTTTCTCTTCCTACTAGATTTTTTTTTTCCTTTTGCAAGCTGAGACCACTCTCCTGGGCACAGGTATAGGAAGTTCCCCTTGACATCCATGGGTATTTTTTGCACCGTTAGTATTAGAAAGTACAATCCGATCTGGAACCTCAAATAATTTAAAATTTGACTTTATCATGAGCACCTGTCCTTTTTCACTGAGGAAATATTTTTTAAAATGATTAAACAGATGGTGGAAATATCATTTTAAAAAGCCATTAAAATAGACAAAGCACATGCTACAGGGAACACTGAACCACCAGGAATGTAAGTGCCTCAAGCAGTTTCCTATCACACAACCACTGACAACCATAAATGATCTGATTTCTTTTCCTCTTCATTCAGTTGATTTCCTGAATGTGACACTTTCCACTTGTTAGTGAATAATGAAGAAGATATAGGCAGAACTCGGCATTTTTTACACAAGTGTATGTGTATATATATATAAAATCTAAATAAAGATTAGAAGTGGCCCAAATCCTGCAAGGACCAAATACCTGTCAAACCGCCAGGCATTAACACCCCAAAATCCCTTCTTAATGTCACTGCTTCACCTAAAATTCTTTTCATGTTTGGGAAAAGGACAAGACAGAACTTTCTCTCTTCTCCATTAATAAAAGTAGCTTGAGTGAGTCACCTTGGTAAATTTAGCATTTTGGACAAAGGCAATCATTGTATTCCAAGTGCCAAGATCAACTTTGCTCTTTATGCCAGTCTGCAAGTTTCCTGGGAAAACTCAACATGGCTACAACTGATGGACACCAGATATTACCATCACTTTGACAGGAGCCAGCAAATCATCAAAGGGGTCACCAATATAATACAAATCACATTTCATTTTGATCTATAATTTGCTTCTGGTTTTTCGTTATACTCATAGGGGAGATTATATGATAGTCTCCATAAAAATTTACAAGTCACTTCTGATGATGAAAGCTCTTTAGAAGAATCCACATTTCACCTTTTTATTTTTTTAAAAAAGACAGGGTTTCACTATGTAGTCCTAACTGGCCTGGAACTTACTATATAGAATGTGCTAGCCTCAAACCCACAGACATCTGCCTGCTTCCGCCTTCAAAATGCTGGGATTAAAGGTATATGCCACCATGCCTGGCCCTAATAATCATCTTTAAAGAAAATAGTTTTAAGAAGTATCAATCAATTATGAAGAAATTAGGATAAAAAGTGCTAAGATGGCCTAGTCACGGTTTAACAGAAAAAAATGGCAGCCATTAAGTAGGAAAAATACATTCTGTTAGAGGAGATGATCACAAACGGGATTATCTGGGCCACTTTGCCATAATCCTGGTCTACAGGCCAGACCAAATTTGTGCAACTTGTTAGTCAGTCCTCAGTCCTCAAGTTACTCACCATCTCTGTAGTTAGAGAGGTGGGCATTGCCAGTGTGTGGATAAAAGAAGCAAGCAGAGAACTGGCATAAGAAGCCAGCAGCAATCAGAATCTGCCCAGAGAACAGCAGCATCTCAGACTGGACACTAGGCCCCTTTCTTTAGCTTCCTACAGGATAGGAGGGTCTGTATTCCTTCAAGATAAACATAGAACACTGGCACTTTTATTCCAATTTCTGACTTTATCTGCAATATTTTAGAAATAGTTGGGGGTGGAGTTGTGAAACAGAAAAGCTGCAAAATATGCACAAAGAACTAAAATTCACAAAACAGGCTGAAGAGATTGCTCAGTGGGTAAAAGTGCTTGTGGAACAAGTCTGACAACCGTAGTTCGCAGATCTGATAACCTGAGTAGGGATCCAGAACCCAGATAAATTGGATTCTGCAATCCCAGCATGCCTCTAAGGGGAGATGAGAGACAGAGGCAGGAGAATATCCCAAAGTTCAGGGCCCAGCTAGCTCGGCTTGCGCAGAGCCTGAGACCCTGTCTCAAACAAGGGGAGAGGGAGAGGACTGACCTCCATACATGTGTTCTGGTATAGGAACAAAATAAAATAAAATTCTCAAAAAATATTGAGATGGGCTTTCAAGATCCTGTAAAAATAAAACCATCAGTAGGATTTGCTTATGAAATTGCAAAGGCAATTCTAAATGAGACACAAAAGCCTAGGTGCCACAAAATTATTTTTGATAAAAACGTTTGGTGTTTGGCAAACACAACATAAGCAAAGTCAAAGTCAAAGTCAAATTGGGAGGGGGGTATTTGTATTGCAAATTGGGAGGTAAACCCGTTAAGATGTGCAAGTTAAACAGCCTCACCCATCAACTGGTTAAGGGCTTCAAAGATGAAAAGATGGCAGGTAGGAGTATAAACAAGCTTTTCTGAGGGCAACTGGGTTACGGCTATTAAAATTCTAAATGCATGATGACCACGGTTATGTTTGCAGAAGGTAAATCAGGACATTAAAAAGATTATGTGGCTGTAACCACTGCCTAACTTAAAAAAATCTAAAATACCCATTAAAAATAAATACCTAATAAAAGAAACATTATCATCAAAAGTAAAATAAGCAAACTAAAACCATTCTCTCCATCTTAGAGCTTACAAATTCAGAAAAGCTTGTGCAATTACTAGCAGCAACTTTTCTTGAGAAATCTGAAAAACTCCTATGTGCAAATTTCTCAAGAAATGGGGTCTTGGGATACTTGTGAAGTTGAATTCACATCTTGGAACAGAAAAATGTCTTCAGGACACTCCAAGTAAGTCCATGCTGGAGAATACTGCTGGTGTGTTAACTCACAACTGGTTAATCATCTCCGCATGCTGATGAGGTCGAAGGCAAACCATCTGGCCTTCTGGTCTAGGAGATTTAGCTACATCTCTGGAATGCTGCCGGTGGCCCTACAGTTCGACTTAACATCACAGTGAGGATTCTGAATGTCAACATTGATTCTTCTGTACTCAGGTTTCAAAAACGATTTTCTCATGTACACCACAAATGTGTATTCTTAAACATATGTGGCTCATGATACAAACAAGTTTTTATTTTGAGATAATGTCAATATGTAGTTCAGGCTGGTACTGAACTCATTATGTAGCTCATGCTGGCCTCAGAGCTGTGGTAATCTCCTACCTCTGCCTCCTGAGTGATGAGATCACAGTATGTCACCATACCTGGGAGTTTTAAAACCATTTCTTTAATAGAAAGCATAGTCCCATAAAAGATGAACAATGAAAAACCTCACCCTGTTTTCCCTTAGGCCCCCAGGTCCCCTCCCACAGCTGCCATTACTTCTTGTGGTCCCCTCTTTACAATACTGCATGTTTTTGGTTTTGTTTTTTAATATTTTATTTATTATTTTTTATGTGTATGTGTGTATTGCCTGCATGTAGGTAAGTGCACATGTGTCATGCACTGCCCACGAGGACAGAAGAGGCTGTCGGATCCCCTGGAACTGGAGTTATGGATAGTTGTTAGCTGCCATGTGGAATACTGCATGTTTTATGACATTTCTTAATGAAAACAAAAGGTTGAAGCGATCCAGTAACCAATCAAAAAAGTTCTCAAAATAGGGATTACTTAGTAAGTCAGGTACTTAAAAGCTGGGATCATGCTTCCCTGATCTACTTTAGTTAATCTCCAAGCTTGGTGGCTTTACTTGTCTGAGTTCTATCACCCTATAAACACCAGGATCTCTGTAAGGATGCTGCTGCACAGAGAAAACTACTTTCTGTTCCTAACATGACCAATTATTCTAACTGCTAATTAATATTAGAAATTCAAATTAATATTAGAGCTCTTAATCCATCAATCTTTTTAGAATTACAAGCTTCCATCTGATCTGAAAGTACATCAATACTGTAACAGAGAAGAAGGGAGTCAACATTGCTTTTGAGAAACCAGGATAGCTCATAAAAAGAGAGACAACATCTTTTGTGAGAACAGGATAGCTCACTGGGGGAAAACACACACACACACACACACACACACACACACACACACACACACACACACACACACACACCACTATTCATTTCTAGTGGATCAGACACTCAGTTGCCAATGGACGTCAGGTTATACACACCCAATCAAACTAACAAGACAAGATAAAAGGATTTGCTGGAGTTTTATAACAAGGTACATTTAGTCGGGAAAAGATGATGTTAAGAACCAATTAGATGCTATGAAAAGAGCTCATTAATTACAAGGTGAATAAACACATGGTTGCTGAAACACTGAAGTTTTCAATTTTAAAGCAGAATTAATCGCTCTAAGAATCTGATTCTATATGTACTTCAATGACCAATGAAGATAAACACAAAATAGAACAAAATAATATGCTTTTTTGGAATTTCATCACGGCAAATAGACTGTTCTTTCATTACTATTTTCCATAGGCTTGAACAAATAAAACACAGGTAATTTAATCTTGATCCCTTTTTAGCACCATGGCCCTTCAACTGACAAAAAATTAGAATGAGGTGACACAAAAACACATCATTCAAGAACAGTCAGAACAAAGATGATGTGCAAATTAAGTGAAAATCAACAGAGTCAAGGACAAAAGCAGCACCCACAGCAGCCAATTAGTGATGATGGCTTTTCTTCCATTCATTAGAAACAGAGATGATACGGGGTCCCAGCCAACTCTAACAAGAGAATTCCACTCATTTTCCTTCTCAAATCTTTCATCATTTTCCTTAAGAAATTGTATAGAAATGTAAGTGGTTTCAGTCAGCTAAACAGTTTGGGTGAATATGTTAAGTTGCTTCAAATGGGTGAGAATTAAGTCTATAAACTCAGAAATGCCAGGACAGAACCAAAGATAAACCTAAATTCTCAAACACACAGGGTGAAACACAGCTGATGTCCCCCACAGGGGAGACCCAGCGGCTACCAAATTTTACTCCTTTTACAAAGTACCTTTTTTCTTGTAGAACTTTCACCTTTAAGCCTTTCAACTTTGGATTTTCTATTGAAAATGTTCTTTAGAAACAGAAATATTTTTCAGTCATCATTACTTTAATGAATAAATTTTTTTTTTGTTTTTTTGGAAACAGGGTCTCACATCACCCAGGCTGGCCTTGAATTCCCTATATAGCTGAGAATGACTGTGAATTCCAGAGCCTCCTGTCCCCACCTCCTAGGGATTATAGGCACAGATATGCCACCATGTCTCCCTTCATAATCAACTTTTTATTTCTTAGATAAAGCATCTGAATATGTTTAAAATTTTCTGTGAAGCCAAATTGCACATTTTTCATATCCTTTCGAGAGAGAAGTTGCATGGTTCTGCAACTTCTAAGCTAGTGCAAATTATATGCACCGTTTTCAGATACAAGGCAATAAGAACAGTTCATTGGTACATGCAACCTTTGTTCTAACAAAAAAAAATGAAAGAAAAGAAAAGAAAAAAAAACACGAGCAAGACTGAATGTGTTGAAAACAAAAGTCATGAGTCATGTAGATGCCACGTGATAGTGTATGTCATAGAACGGAAACCAACCTGGATGAATAGACTGTTCAGCCATAAACTTAGACGCTAACTTGTAAAAACTACACGTATACTTTCAGAAAGCATGCCTAAAAACTCATATATACATTAGTTATGAAGCACTGTGTTTTCTATCATCTATATAATGACTGTAAAAATTTCCTGGAGAGACGAGAGGTTTACCAAGACATACAGTTTCTAATTAGTATAAATTAGTAAATCTTACTAATTCAAGCTTAATGAATTCTTAAGACTAGACTGCACGGTCTCCATTAGGGAGCTTCATTATAACACTGTCCCTGGGGGTTACACTGTGGCACTATCAAATAGACCGAAGTGCTTCGGTTAAGGGCTTTCTGGGCAACTGTGCACAAAAGCCAGCTGGGCATCCTCCCTTGTCTGCTTAGCTCGACTCTGGTGAAGATGTAGAGATTTCAATGTTGTTTTGAGGGTGGCATGATGTAGATGGCAGCAGACAAAAAACAATGTTTAAGAAAAAACAAAGGCTGTACACAAGAACTTATGTTTATTGCAAACAAACAAACGAAAAAAGAGCAAGGGAAAGAGAAAATGGTCAGAAAAGCACAACATATAAGGTTAAGAATTGAAAAGCGTCTTACATTCTGCCCTAATGGCAGCATAATTAATAGCAACAAATGGCCGTCTTGCTGCCTGCCGCAACCGAAGGGTATTTTTGCAGACCTGACGAGCAAATTTTGTGAAATACGTAGTATGAAGGAAGAAAGCTTGGCGGGTCTTCACTGCAGACTTTGGACTCCCTGTGTTCCGGACTGGCATCCCCTGCATGGCCTGCCGGGAAAGGTGACTTCTAACACGGGGGTCCTGCAATACCAGAAAACAACCAACGTTTACGAAGTAGAATTTATTAAAGCACATTACCACTTCTACTGTGTACAAAGGAAAGTCTGATTTTAAATCATCCTCTCAAGTAGTGGTAACTCAGGAGCCTGTCCTCAAGGAGAGAATTCAGCCTGCACTTTGGGGAAGAAGGTGCGTACAAAGGGCAGAGGGTAGAGTACAATCCCAAATCACATGCACTGTCAGTAAGAAACTGCCCTGGGCTGGGATATTTGGTTGTTTATTTTTTGTGAAGAATCTGAGACTCTTATCAGCTCTGAAAATAACAGCTTCCCTCTGTACACACTGGTGTGCAAACCCTCAATCTATGAGGATTTACCAAGATCATATTTCAAGTTCTGTTTACCTCAAAACTGAACCCAATACCTTCATGTCCTTCCACAACAGCCAAGAAAAGAGAAAATGTTTAATTCATGTTTATTATTTTATATAATAAGAGGCTTTCAACAGTATCTAAAGGTTACAAACTGTTTTCAAAAACAAAACAATTTGCAAGCTCCTGCTGCCGCCACCGCCTACACTATTCTTTTGTCTGAGTAATCTCACAAGACCAATATTTTGAATACCTGAAAAAATTTGACTTGTCTCTGCTTCTATCTTCACAACTACCCTGAATATTACAGTGCTGTGTTTAACTTTAAAAACCAGCTTTGTTCATTTTTAAATTGTCCTGTATTGCAGTTCTGTTTCATAGGAAAGAGCCAACCATTGAAAAATGTGGCATTTTCAAAGCTAAAAAGCCACTACTTACGCACCTCTGCAGTAGGGCTGGGCGATAACTTCTCTTCTTCTGACTGGGTAGGCATTTTCAGACCTCCATATTTTTTCCAATACAGCCAACAAGTTGCACACAATCTACACTGCATATTGGGTGGACCCCAGGAGTACCACTGGTGAGACTGTGTAGCTACAGACAGAGGGAAAGGAATGCTGTGACATCAATAAAATCAAATACCTCAAAACATTTGAAAGCCACCATTAGTTTACAATGTTCTTTTCTTTCTTAAGGTTATAGATAAGCACAAAAGTACAATGTACAACATATATTTTTCAGAACTCAGAATACAATAAACTTAACATTTGTTTCTGCCACACATCAAGTGCTTGTGATACCTCTTAGGAGAGACCACTGGGGGGCTTGAGAGATGGCTCAGTGATTAAGAGCACTTAATGCTCTTACAAAGGACTTGGGTTTGATTCCTAGCACCCATATCAGGCAGCTCACAACCACATGTAACTGGTTTCAGAAGGATTCGATGCCATGGTGCACATAAACTCATGTAGGCACAGATGCACAATCAATCAGTCAATCAATCAATCAATCAATCAATCAATCAATCAATCAATCAACCAATCAATCATCTTTCAAAAAAATCAAGATGTGGGTGTCATATCTTGACTATGGATTAGGCTGCTGAGGGAATTTTTGTTTATTAGCTGGGCATGGTGACGTACACCTTTAATCCCAGGGACAGAGGTAGGTGGAACTCTGTGAGATAGACACCAGCCTGGTCTATATAGTGAGTTCCAGGCCAGGAACAGGGAGACCCTCTCTCAAAAAACAAAAAAACTCAAACAAACAAACAGAAATATATTAGGTGCATTTTTAGAAATAAGTCTTCAGAAACGTATTATTATTAAGATCTTTGGCAGTGTTTAAAATCTGAATCCAGTTTCCAAGTTTAAGGTTCAGAAACTCTACCAGGGTTGTTACCAGGGTTGTTTAGGTTCTCAAGAGGAGACTCACTAACTAGTTAGGAACCAAACAGATCTAGAAATCTGACTGCCATTCCTTTAATCAATAAAAAAAACATTATTTTAGAACTTCTTCCTTAAATCAGAATGTCTTTCAAGACTGTAAATCCATATCAAGTGAATGTGTACAGCTGATCTCACCGTTTAGTAGGACCTAAAACTCGGATGACTGACCATTAGGCAGAAAATGCAAGCCTGTGTCAGCTTTGTTCTGTAGCTTAAGCCCCTGGCCTGCAAAATTAAGAGCACACCAAGGTGAAGCCAAATGGGGTGGAAGACACTGATGGTGAAACATGGATAACCAAGTGGCAAAGACTGTTACAACTGTGACTTTGAGAATCATTTCTCTCCTCTTTAAGTTATCATCGTCAGATCAAAACATTCAACTAAGCACACAAAGGTGTCCGCTAACAAATACTTCAGGAACCAATGTCAAAAAATAAGACAGAAACCTGAGTATAGCCCAGTGGTAGAATCTGGACTGGGCATGCGCAAGGTCCTAGGTCCAATGTTCACCTCCAAAGAGAGAAAATATGGAGACTACTACATTTAATTGCTTTTAGCTTACTCAAAATAATACACATTTATGATGAGATTCCTTTCAAATAGAAGCCTAAGACTCTTTCCTCTTTTAATTGACTTCTTCCTTAAATCAGAATGTCTTTCAAGACTGTAAATCCATATCAAGTGAATGTGTACAGCTGATCTCACCGTTTAGTAGGACCTAAAACTCGGATGACTGACCATTAGGCAGAAAATGCAAGCCTGTGTCAGCTTTGTTCTGTAGCTTAAGCCCCTGGCCTGCAAAATTAAGAGCACACCAAGGTGAAGCCAAATGGGGTGGAAGACACTGATGGTGAAACATGGATAACCAAGTGGCAAAGACTGTTACAACTGTGACTTTGAGAATCATTTCTCTCCTCTTTAAGTTATCATCGTCAGATCAAAACATTCAACTAAGCACACAAAGGTGTCCGCTAACAAATACTTCAGGAACCAATGTCAAAAAATAAGACAGAAACCTGAGTATAGCCCAGTGGTAGAATCTGGACTGGGCATGCGCAAGGTCCTAGGTCCAATGTTCACCTCCAAAGAGAGAAAATATGGAGACTACTACATTTAATTGCTTTTAGCTTACTCAAAATAATACACATTTATGATGAGATTCCTTTCAAATAGAAGCCTAAGACTCTTTCCTCTTTTAATTGACTTTTTTTTTAAAGATTTGGGTTTTTTTTAATTAAAAAATTTTAAATGTACTTATTTTATCTGTATGAGTGCTTTGCTTGCATATATGTAAGCACACCCATGCTGTGCAGTGTCCACAGAAGTTAGAAGAGGGCACTGGATCCCCTGGAACTGGAATTTCAGACAGTTGTTGGCTGCCATGTGGATGCTGGGAACTGTACCCAGGTCCTCTCCAAGAGCGGCCACTGCTCTTAACCCTGTGCCATCTCTCTAGCCCTTAGTTTTAAACTTTTCAAAAATTATGTGTATATGTGTGTATTTTGTGCATGTGAGTGCAAGTTCCCTCAGGGGCCAGAGGTATCAGATTCCTTGGAGCTACAGTTACAGATATTTTGAGCTGCCCAATATGGGTGCTGGGAACTGGATTCAGATCCTCTTTAAATACTGTATGTACTTTTATCCCCTAATCCATCTCTCTGGCCCCCAAATTGACTTTTTTTAAATACAAATTTTAATAATCTTAAATATCAGTCAAGTGTGCTGGCACACACCTGTAGCCCTAGTATTTGGGAGATGGTGGCAGGAAGATCAGGAGTTCAAGGTTATCCTTGGCTATCAGGTTTGAGGCTACCCTGGGCTGTATGAGACCCTGTCTCAAACAAAGAAACAAACAGAACCAAAAAATTTTAAATATCAAGTTGTGAATATATTTTGAATTCTGAATATAAAATTTGATATGTAATTACTTTAAATTCAAAAGGTATCATTTGACAGAGAACACCAAATTTTATCATTCTATAAACATAAACTGTATGCATATATTAAGACACATTTTATGATGAAAACTAATGTGGGTCAAAAACTAAAAATTAAAAGGTTATTCATCACATAAAATGACAATAATTGTTTAAAGGAACACACGTTAATGTGAGAGGGGTTTGAAAGTCAAAATAAGATTGCCAGGCATATCCTAGTGCTCTGGAAGCTGAGGCAACAGGATCATTTGAGCCCAGAGCTCAAGGCCACAAGGCCACCCTGGGATGAGGATAAGACCCTGACTCAAAAATGATTAAGCCATTCCCATTTGTCTGAAAGACTATTTTCATATAAGTATATTATTAACTTCAAAATTCAAGAATATCCAATTTGAAGACGCTCATGGCTGGGCATGGTGGCACACACCTTCAATCCTAACACTAGGAGATCTTTGTGAGTTCAAGGTCAGCCTGGTCTACATAGAGAGTTCCAGGCCTGCCAGAGCCACACAGAGACCCTGTCTCCAAAATAAATAAATAAATAAATATATAAATAAATAACAAAAAAACACACACACACACAAACCCATCCCCAGCTCTCACAAGGAAATAATATTGTTGGGCTGGGGTGATAGCTTAGTTGGGCACAAGAATCTGAGTTTGATGCTAGGAAGCCACATTAAAAAGACAGGCAGGGCTAGTGAGATGGCTCAGTGGTTAAGAGCACTGGCTGCTCTTGCAAAGGACCTAGGTTCAGTTCCCAGCACCCACATGATGGTTTACAATGGTCCATAACTCCAGTTCCAGGGGAATTGATGCCCTCTTCTGGCCTCTGTGGGCATTGCATGCATGGGTACACTTACATACACATACAGGCAAAACAAACATACACAAAATAAAAACAAATAAGTTATACATAAAAAAAGGTGACATGCACCTGTAATCCCAGCACTGAGGAAGCAGAGACAGGCAGATCCCTAGGACTTACTGGCCAGTCAGCCTAGCCTAAGGAATGACACCCAAGGTTGTCTTCTAGTGCACACACAGACACACAGAACCATTCACATGCATCCACATACACACACAAAATAAATTATATTAAGTCTGATGTGGTGGCATATGCCTGTGATCCCAACACTCGGAGGCTGAGCCAGGAAGAGCCCAGCATGGGTTTCATAGGGAGACCCTGCCTCAAAATCCCAGCTCAAAGGAACAAGAACAGAAAAGAGTTCATAGTGTTGTTTGGGATTTTAAATAAACTTAAGGTGTATCAAATACCTATCAAATCATCTCACCAACCTTTATTGCATTCACAATATAATCCTGCAACCAGAGATAAATACAGCAAGGCCTGAGGTCAAAAGCAAAGAGCACAAACAGCATTTCCCAAACTGGTACCCTGAGGGAGCCTGTCTGAGGACTGTAAATATCAGTTTATCCACACACTGACCTTCCTTCAAGAAGAACTGGCCACATTTAATTTGTCAAAGGACACGGAGAAACTCCAAAACAGGATCTGGTGTGTACCATAGGACCACGGTTTTGGGCAAAGCTAATATAAGTGTGCACACAGTTGAGCAAATATGGTCATCAAAAACTCAACAAACATAGAACCCACAGAAGAAAACCAAAGGCAATGCATGCCTACCGTTGTTGTGTGGGACAGAGGGAGTACTCAGCATATGGCCCTCTTGTTCCTTGTAGAAGGCCAGGATGGTAGCCACTCAACCTGAGGAGACGCTGCCCTGCCTCTGCATAGTACTAATGACATATTTCCCAGAAGCTGCCATATAATCCCGCTTCACAGTGCCAGAGGGCTCCCCACACTTAAATCAAGGACAGGCCTCAAATGGGAAAAGAGCCTGATAGAGCAAACTTACCATAGCAGCTCTCACAGGCTCGCCCTAAGAGGGGATTCTGGGGCTGGAACGTGGTCCCCACAGCTCCATTCACAGTGCCAGGCTTGCCATTGCTGGTGGACATTTGGTTGGGATTTGGTTTGCTGCTTTCAATGAAATGTAAAGTGAGATGATAAAAATACTTTATAGAATAAGGCAAAAAGCTGACATCTCCTTACTAATTTACCTTCTCTAAATATAAACAGACACTTAACATAATTAGTGAAGAAACTGGCAAAAGCAAGGTGCTAAAATGAACCCAAACGGGGGAGGGTAATGAGGACTAACAAGAACAAAGTCTAATGACACATGTATGAAGATGTTATGATGAAACCCAGTACTTTGTATACTAACCTGAAAAATTAACAAGAGACTTTAAAAGGCTAATAACGACCAGTCTCTTGTGCCTGGCACTCTACAGTAAAGGTGGCATCCCGTGTCTACCCCAGTGCAATTTCTTTACTGAAAACTCTGATGCTTTTAAAATGTAGAAGTCACTAAACTTTATCCTTAACATAAATTTCAGAAAATAATTTTGGGGATTGAATGAATTAAGCTAACAGTAGTGCTCTGTGATTCGGGAACGTCACCACATTTCTGTTGTCAGTGGGAACCGTGAGCTTCACATTGCTCCGTCAGGAGCCAGGCAGTGAAAGAGTTGCCCGCTCTGCAGGCCTCCCTCCACAGTGGAGGAGCCTTTGTCTCAGGATAAAAACTCATATTACATTTGAAGTTTATGAGGAAGATTGGCATTTAAAATGAGAAAACCTGTTATCTTTAAGTCCCCCCACCTTTTTTTTTTTTATAAAGAAAACACTTTCAGGAGGTAATAGGAGAGACATCAATCAGAAGACTAAATGCAAATTTCTCAGACTAAGTCAACACAATTCTTACTATGCAAACATAGCAGATCTGTCCCCATTTCCAGAAGGCTAGCTAACTCCCTGCTCAGAGCTACGCCAGAGGACACAGTATAGCTGCAGTATGCAGTTCATTAGACAGTTCAGTGCCTAGTAAACAAGACTCTGACCCCAGGAGATTCCTTCTAGGGGACCTTTCATGTCTCTTTGCTGGACGGAAAGTAAACACTAAGCAAAAATAATCACTGACTTTAGAGGTGACTGCTGAATGACTACATGAAGACTCTTTTCACAGCTACTGAAACAGAGAGATGTCACAACTCTCAAGATACCTGGAGTCTCAAAGTTCAATCGGGGGTTTCCTCTTGCCACAATCCCACTTAACAATGAGAGTGGTCTGTGTGGACTTGGTTTGGCCCAATCATGAAGTCCTTAATTAGCATTTGTTCTTAGCACTGTTGCTGGTGACACCCCTACCTCTCCCACCAGTTGAAGTCATTAACCTCTGTGCATTGGGGACTGGGGACCCTATTCTATAAAAGAGGGCTATCACTACAGTCTAGCCTACGGTCTGAATGATTTTAAAAGACAAATTGGTTTTTATTCTCTCTCTCTCTTTCTCTCTCTCTCTCTCTCTCTCTCTCTCTCTCTCTCTCTCTCTCTCTCTCTCTCTCTCTCTCGGTTTGAATGAATTTGAGAGAGAAATTGGTCCCCAGCCCTCTCCTTGAAACTAGAAGCTAGGGCTTCCTACATGCTTGGTAACTGTCCTATCACTGGGCTATACCTCAGCACTCACAAATTGGTTTTAAAAAATGTATATAAAATGAAACAGAAGGCATTTTTCTTAATACAAAAGAAAAAGTAGTGGCTTAGAATGACTAAAATTTCCAAGGATGTGTAATATTTATAATTTTTTAAAAATCTACTGTATAGTGATAGAAATGATTTCCCCTTGAAATCAAACGATGACCAGAAGTTTCCCAGAAATATGAAAATTTGGACTTTAAATACAAGGCTAAAGATAGGAGTTTAAAAAACAGCCAATGCATCTTTTCAGTTGAGTTTCCCCAAAAGAGGAAACAGCAAACACAAATGAAGCTATGCAAACGAGCACAGGGTGCTGCCACTGTTCTCAATCACAATAATCACAAAAGAAAACAAGTGTGCCAAAAAAGACTAACTGCGGACATGTAACTCATTGAAAATATCCACCTAGGTATTCAATCTCAGGGCCTAATAACTGACTGATGGTGAACAGAATGAGGACGTGCTTGCAGACATGCTATGAGATCACACTCCTTTTAATCCAGCGCCCACACCCTCTCATCTGTGCTCCCATCCATCTCTCGTCTCTGGAGAACTTGGTATTGGTCTTCTCTTCCCTGGACCCTTCTCTCATTACTATTTTCCCATTTCTCCCATTTGGAAGTCTCCCCAACCCATGTGCTCTCTTCATAGTCACCCCAGGTGCCCTCTTCACAGTCACCCCAGGTGCCCTCTTCAGTTACCCCATGTGCCCTCTTCACAGTCACCCCAGGTGCCCTCTTCACAGTCACCCCAGATGCCCTCTTCACAGTCACCCCAGATGCCCTCTTCACAGTCACTCCAGATGCCCTCTTCACAGTCACT